ATTGTGAAGCTGAGGCTCCAATACTTTGGCCACCTCGTGAGAAGAGAAGACTCCCTGGAAAAGACCCTGATGTTGGGAAAGATGGAGGGCACAAGGAGAAGGGGACGACAGAGGACGAGGAAAAGTTCTCCTCCTCTGCTCTCCCTCCGGAAAACCCCTCAGCATCTTCAGGTGTGTATCTCTCTCCCTCAGGTATGCCCACCCACCTTTTACCTGCTGAATAAATGAGAAAAAGAAGGTTATGTCTCTTACTTCTCTTAATTTGATTTCTTCACCCTAACGTCCCTCAGTGGACTACAGAAATTTAAAATTCAGTACCAAATTATCTAAGGTTGTTCACCAAGCCAGACTAAACGTCTTTCCTTCTGCAGTGTTGGATGGCAGGTTGAGAGGAGTTCCCTACCAGGACAGACTTTGCTCATGTGCTCAAGACATCGATTCTATAAAACATATTTTGCTGCGAAACATGAGCAAGCCAAGGCTGAACTGATATTACCCTTGCTGGTACCTTTCCTGGGAAAATCAGAGGCTCATTATGTCAGGTTCCTATTGGAAGACCGGACAAACGCTAGAACATTAGCAGTGGCAAAGTTTTTATCGGTGGTTGCAAGAACCAATGATCCCTGTCTTTAAGTCTGAACAAAATGCTTGTTTAACCTGGAGGTAGGCTGTCTGAATTGTGCATTGCTTTGTAACAATTTGTTGGGTCTCTGGACCGTAATAAAGAAAAAAAAATCAATGCTAAAAGCAGTTCAAAACAATTTACAGTCACAGCGATCTGCTGTGACCTGAAAAACGTGTCTCTTGGATCATAGAATCATAGAGTTGTAAGGGACCCGAGGGTCATCTAGTCCAACCCCCTGCAAGGCAGGAATCTCAGCTCAAGCATCCATGGCAGATGCCCATCCAACTCCTTTCCTGCAACTTGAAGCCACTGGTTTGAATCCTACCTTCCAGAGCAGGAGGAAACAAGCTTGCTCCATCCTCCATGTGACAGCCATCTTTGAAGATGGCTTACCATATCTCCTCTCAGTCTCCTCTTTTGCAGGCTAAACATCCCCAGCTCCTTCAACCGTTCCTCACAAGGCTTAGCTTCTAGATCATCCTAGTTGCCCTCCTCTGCACACGCGAAGCCAAAGTGGTGTGTCTTCAGCCTGTGATGGGAGCAATACAATGAAGGTGCATGATCCAGGGGGCACGACTCTAAATCCGGCCCTACTTCCCTGCCAGTTGGGCCTCGCTTGCACCTTCCTGCTTGGCCTCCACGTATAGGGGCCTCTGTTCGACATCTGCGGACGGCACTTCCTCAGAGACATCTGCGGCGGCCTCCTCAAATCCCACCTGCAACATCAGGAAGGAACCCTGTCAGGACAGAGCAACAGGGCAAGGAGGGAGAGGCCTGGGCGGAAAACCCAGAGCCTCCCTCAAACCCCACCCTGAAGCCATCACCCAGCCATACCCTCCAACGTTCCTTAGATGAAAAGAGGGGCATTTGTCACTCCCCACTCAACTGACCCTCCTCATCCCCAACCCCCATTTTTGTTCCCCAACCCATCCCAGCAGAGCATTCCCACCACGACCACACCAAGGGGATGCAGCACAAACGCCCTCCTGAGAAAAACCCTTCACCCCGGCTTTCTTTTTTGGTCAATTGACAAAAAGAGAAGCACACGCCAATGAATACATTTTAGAAAGGGGCAAGATTAGATGCAGACGCACAAATCACTTTTTTCAAATACAGCAGTTTTTGAAACGTAATCCGTTCCTGAAGACCGTTCGACTTCCAAAACGTTCGACAGCCGAGGCGCAATGGGCGTGAAATCCCTTGAAAAAATGGAGAAATGTGACTCGGAAGCCGTTTGACTTTGAAACGAAAAGAATTGCTTCCGAGTTTTCGGCGTTCGGGTTCCGAATCGTTCAGCATCCGATACGCTCGAAAACTGAGGTTTCCCTGTCCAAAAATCAAGATTCCTTGTGCTCTGCTCCACTCCCCCTTTCTTCTTTCCCAGCTAAATATTTCTTTCTTTCTTTCTTCTTGTCCTCTGCCTCCCCCTCAGAGCTGGCGCGTCAAACAGGGCCTTAATGGTGGTGGCCTCTCCTCCCCACCCGCTATCTAGCAGCCACTAGCAGCTGCCCAAGGGAGGAAGCTGGTAGCAGCGGCCGTGGAGAGGCCATGGAGAGGCAACAGGATGCCCTCTCACAGCCGCCGCAGCCGCCATGGCTTGGGACAAGGGCCAGCTCATACTATTCCCCGATCTCGGCACTGGCAGCGGAATTAGGGACAGTCCAGGATCAAATCAGAAGCTGGGATGGCTTTCATAATTCCAGAACTGTCATTGGAGACAAGGGACACTTGGGGAGTATGCCTAGAAGAGCACAGGAATCATAGAGTTGGAAGGGATCCTGAGGGTCATCTAGTCCAACCCCTTGCAACGCAGGAATCTTTTGCCCCCAAACGGGACTTGAACCCGCAACCCTGAGATTAAGTGTTTCCCTGAGTGAGCTAGGGGCATAGAATTGGACTTCCCCTCCTTAATCAGCATGAAACGGACAGGCTTCGCTCTCTTGGTTAACAACCCAGGGAGTGGCAGGATCAGCCCCCCAGGAGCCCCCCAGCAACACAGCCCCAAGGCGCATGTGAGCTCCTGCCCCTCAGCTTCCCGTTGCGCCTGGAGGTCTTCCTCGGCCAGGGCCACTGCCTGGGAGCAGCTCTCAGGCCCGGCCTCCCTGACCCAGCCCTGGACCTCGGGCGGCAGGATAGCCAGGAACTGCTCCAGGATCAGCAGTTCCAGAACCTGCTCCTTGGTGTGCCGGTCCACTTTTAACCACCCACGGCAGAGCTCCTGGAGGCGGCCATAGGCCTCGCCCCTCGGCCTCCTGGTAGCAGAAGCGGCGGAAGTGCTGCTGCCGCTGCTTCTCCTGGGCGGTGGTGTCCCCGCGCAAGATGGCCGCCTTCACTTCCCCATAATCCTCTCTGTCGCTGGCCTCCAGGCTGCCAAAGGCCCACTCGGCCCCTCCTCGGAGGGCTGGCAGCAGCCTGGCCGCCCACTCTCCCTTGGGCCACCCGCTCAAAGGAGGCCAGAAAGCCCTTGGCATCGTCCCATGGGGCCGCCTCGCCGATCCGGGCAGAGGAGACTCCATTGTCTTCAGGAACTCCTTGTTTTTAAATTGTATTTGTTTTTATATTGGGTGTTAGCTGCCCTGAGACCGGTCTTGGCTGGGGAGGGCGGGGTATAAATAAATTTTATTATTATTATTATTATTATTATTATTATTATTATTATTATTATCTCCTGTGGAGGGGAGTTCCAGAGGTTAACGATACGCTGCTATGCGCTTTGGTCTCCGATGCTCTGCAGAAGCCCCCCCCCATCACCCAGGAATTGTAGGAGGCTCAAGCAGGCAGGCCCCCTTCGTTTTAGGAGGCTCCCTGCCCCATGCCGTCCCCCTCTTCTACCGCCCCTCCCCAGTACCCCATAGAAAAGCGCTGTCCAGGTACCCTTTGACCCAGCTTGCTCAAAGAGTTTGCTTCTTCTGGAAGGGGGAAACCAGCAGCAGAGAGACCCCTGCCTGCTACCCAGAGGAGGGAGAGCGATTGCAAAAGAGGGTCTTTTTCCTCCTCCAGCAATTCCCTGCCTCTCCGCCTCCATGCCCCAGTCTAGCACACTGTCCTCCTGTCTTCTCCTCCTCTCCTTCTTTCCTCCTCCTTTTATGCCAGCTGCAAAAGAAATTCAAAACCAAGGCCCACCCCCTAACCAGGGAGGAAAAACCCTTCCTGGCTTTCACAAGCCTGCCTCCCTCCTGCAACTCTAGCCATTGCAGCTCTGTGGGTTTAACTCTTCAGCTGCACAAATCCTTGCAGAATCGCAGCATTGGAAGGGACCCGAGGGTCATCTAGTCCAACCCCCTGCAATGCAGGAATTTTTCACCCGACATGGGGCTGGAACCCACGTCCCTGAGATTCAGAGTCTCATGCTCTGCCATCTGAGCTATCTTAGGTGCAGCCTTATTAGAAACGGTGCATTATTATTATTATTATTATTATTATTATTATTATTATTATTATATTGGTCCGAATATAAGCTGCACTCCCCCCCCCCCAATTCTGACCTTGGAAAGTTAAAGTGTGGCTTAAATTTGCGACCTTACAAAAACCGCCTTTTACGATATTGCTGCTGAAACAGACATACGGTAAAAGGGAACAAAAAAAAGTTTTATTGCCGATTTGCGAGCTTGAGACTTCATTTGCCATTTACGGGTGTGAGTGCCTGCGGCATTGTAGCAGCTGAATAGTGATTTGCGATTTTAGCGATTGTACGGTAACTTTTGTGGGCTTGCAAGAGCAAAGGCTTAAATTGGCTCGGAGTTACACTTGTACCTATGGCAGCAATTTTCAGCCTGTAACCCAATTTTAAGGGAGTGGCTTATATTTGGGTATTATCTTTTTTTCTCCCCCCCCCTTGAATTTTAAAGGTGCGGCTTATTTGTGGGTGCGGCTTATATTCGGGCCAATACGGCATTCTGTTGTGATTCTCTGCTGCAGACTAGCTAAGCAAGGTGTCTTAGATCTGAGTCTAATACACTAGAAAAATTCCGTGCGTTCATGTAAACCAAAAAACCAAACCAAAAAACTTGGGACATTATGCCAAATTTTCAAAAATCCGCCCGGGCAACAATTTTAATCAGGAAAATAGAGGATGTGACAGGAAAAAGAGGACCCATGGCAACCAGGCAAGCTGAAAAAGGTCAGATGATGGAAAAGCGACCCAACTCTCTCTAGCCAGGAGTAAAACTCTTCCCTCCTCCTCCGCCTGATCCTTCTGGGCAGTTTCTCTCCCCCCTTCAAGTCCCCCCTCTCTGCCTTTGTGGCACAAAGAGCAGCAGGGCTAGAGTCTAGCTGCACAGAAGAGACTCTTCACCCCCCATGAAAGACTAGTCCCCACCCTCCTGTCTCGTGCTCTGCCAAATCAGACACCTCAAAAGGAAAAGAAGACTGAGAGTGAGGAAAAGATGATTTATTGGGACTGTTAAAAGTGTGACTGCCTCTTTCAGAAGAAGCAAGCTGCAGAGGGAATTGTGGGGAAAGGAAGGAAAAGGAATCTTCTCAAAGGGCCCTTGAAAAACTGCCCCAGGTTCTCCTGGTGGGTAAATGTCCGTCCCTCTGGTCTGGAGAGAAACTCCTGCTGGGCCTGAGAGGCAGATCTAGTCTCCTCAGGAGATCCTGAGGTGGGTTTCATTTCCCCTCAGATGAAAGAAAGGGAGGAGGCTCTCTCCCGAGAACGAGGCTCCTGAGAACGTGCAGAGTTCGGCGTCAGAAAAGGACACACGTCCCCCTTCATAGTCCAGAGTCACCCGGATCCTCCCTCAGGGAAAGAGGAGAGGGTTCAGGGGAGGTGAAGGCCTGGTACTTCCCTCCCAAATTCCCCTCCTCAGGCCTAAAGGGGAGGCACCCCTTTCTCCCCACAGACTTCCTGGCGACCCCCACAGACCCCCCCCCACTTCCCACAGTGACTTCCCAGAAATGTCTGCCTGCTGTGAATCCCTCCCGTCCCAACACACAAGGGTCGCATCTGAATCTCTCCGGATGGTCAGGCAGGGCTTGAGGTTTGTCTCCATGCATCACGCTTTTCCCATCCTTGGACAGGATGAGTTCAGGATGGGCTGTGTCTGGATCCAGAGTGACATTTGCTGTTGGGGAGAAGAGGAGGGAAAGAGAAGATTAGGCAGAGTCAGCAGAGAGAGAGAGATGGACATCCTAATCCAAGAAGCACCCGAAAAACCCAGATTCCCTTTCAGGTCAAGGGGATTTCTTTTTAATCACATGGGATACTGAGATGCCTCCTTGCAGACTCTCATCAGAAGAAATAACTTCCTTGTTGATTTTTAACTCCGTTTCCTTCCTTCCTTCTTATATTCAATGTCCATTGTGCCTGCCCTCCTTCCAAACCAGGCATTTTCTAAGGGGGAAAACCACCCAGGAAACCTTTTGCTCAGCTCTTCTGTGTTCTCTAAGAGGAAAGAGAGGAGAATTGGAGGAGGCAGGAGAGGAGAGAAGCTGCTTTCCTCTGACAATCTCTGTGGGAACTGGCCTTTGGGGAGCTCTGGCTTGGGCTGGGGGAGGAGGACCCCCAGCAGTAATAGTAGTAGTAATAATAATAATAATAATAAATATCCACATTTGCATACTGCCCATCATATATAGGTCTGAGGGTGGTTCACAGCATTAAAATACAACACAAAACCACATAGAGGCTTCCCCTCACTTGTGCGGGAGTTATGTTCTGGGCCCTCGTGCACAAAAGTGAAAATCGTGTTAAGTGGGGAGCCTGTTTATTCCTGCTCCCCATCTCTCTCACTCACTTGGTCTCTCCTTCCTCCCAACCATCTTGGAAGTTTAGGCCTTGCCGCCAGGGAAGAGGAGGCAGGTGGAAGGGCAATTGTACAAAGGACTCCTTATTCCATGCTTCTCTTGGGGATTTCATATATACCATAAGACTAGTTCCCTGGGGGAAAGGGGGAATAACTGAAAAGGTTACCAGTTTGGGGCTGAGACAGTCATGATAGGCAAGTGTAGGGCTGCCCTATTTTGGAGAGCAAGAAAGAGGACACATTGGCCAACTTTGACTTTTCACCATGGATCGCTAGGACGACTCTCCTCTGAAATACCCCTACTATATGTAGGCTATAGAAGCTGTGATATAGTGCTAGTAGCAATGTTAACTTTCAACAACAAAAGAATGATAATAAGAATACATATAGCTCCCTCACTTGCCACATGAAATATTTGGGCGCATGTTCACATCTTTCTGAATGTAAGTGTGCACAGAACAATTTATTAACCTGTTGAACATCTGCATGTGGACTCTCCTTAAGGGTAGGGGGGTGTTAACACTTGACCTCCCGGACTCCTTCTCCAAGATCTTGTAGCTGAGCCAGCGTCCTTTTGGTTCAGCCACAAGAGAAGGGGTTTTTACAGTATGTCGCTAGCTTAAGATGCTGCTCTGTTGTGATTCTCTGCTGCAGATTAGCCGAACTGGGTGCCTCAGATCTGACTCTAATGCAGGCATAGGCAACCTTGGCCTTCCAGATGTTTTGGGACTACAACTCCCATGATCCCTAGCTAACAGGACCAGTGGTCAGGGATGATGAGAGTTGTAGTGCTGAAACATCTGGAGGGCCGAGGTGCAATATTAAAATTTTCATGGGTTCTTGTAAACCAAAAAACCGAACAAAAAACCTTGGGGACATTTTGCCAAATTTTAAAAATCTGCCCCGATACAAATTTTAAGAAATTTTGATCATGAAAATAGAAGACATGGCTGGGAAAAAGAGGACACATGGCAACCAGGCCTGAAAAAGGTCACATGATGGAAAAACAACCCAACTCTCTCTAGTCAGGAGTAAAACTCTTCCCTCCTCCGCCTGATCATCTATGACATCATAGAATAATAATAATAATAATTATATATATATATATATATAGCTCCCTTGCTTGCCACATGAAGTTATTTGGGCTCATGTTCACATCTTTGTGAACATAAGAATGCACAGAACAATTCATTAAACTGTTTAATATGTACATATGGAGTCTCCTTAAGGGCAGGGGGATGTTAACTCTTGCCCTCCTGCACTCCTTCCCCAAAATGCAAGGGAGATTCCTTATACATGAGAAGGCGACAAGATGGACATTGGACTGACCCTGCAGGATCCTCCTTAAGGTTTTGTAAGATATTGTAAGACTCTGAGGGTTTTCCCTACAAACAAGCAGTATACAGATTTTATGAAAGAAAGCAGAATCTATAAAATCGAGAGTGAAACCAGGATCCTAGTCTATAGGCAGGAATGGAACTCAGACTGGTGTGCAGGTTCTTCACAGGGACAAGCTCTGCCCCCAATCCAAGCCTTCAAACCCTCTCCCAGTTCATTCATGGGACAGACCAAGAACCCAAACACCACTAGAGGACTGTTTCCCAGAGTGACGCCATTGATGGTGGTCCCAAAGTCTGCAGAACAGACGGTTTAACACCATGAAATATCAGTCCCCATCCCTCCTGTCAAATTGTTCCTCCCCTGGAAATTTACCTTTCTGAGTCTGTTTTCTGTATAACACAGCATCTGAGAAAGCAAAAAGATATAACGTGTAAGGGCAACCCTCTTCCACCTGAGATAAATCTCCATACAAAAGTAACACTTCATAATGTAGCATCCTTGAATTGACTCCATTCAGAGCAGGAGAACCTCCCAAAGGACAACCCCAGATTTATGTAGACTGGTAACCAAAAGGAAAAGGAGGTTCCGTAGAATTGAAAAGAGATACCCTCTGGTTCAGGCTTCCTTTACAGGATCCAGCGCCATTCTGGGGGGACAGGAAATGAAGGCTGGAGCCCCAAGAAGGAAGGTATCCTGGGGTTACGCAATTCCATGCAGTAAGAGCCTGGCATGTTCAGTTCTGAAGAAATAATAGAAATCCCAGTGTGAAATCCTGGCAGCCAATTTCCATTACCTTCCCATTGTTTCATGGCATCCTCCACAAGGTGATTTAGATCACAGGATCCCAAGACCCTGTTCCTCAGCTCTGGAGGGAAAGGCAGTGGCTTCTCTGGACTCTCTCTTTTCTCGTACCTGGTGAAAAGAAGAACAATGTCAGCCCATTCAAATCTGCAATTTCTGTTAAAGGAAAAGAAAGGAATTGGGAGGAGGCCTAGAGGGACAGGCATGCGCTGAGTGGGGAGTTTCTTCCTCACTACGGACTCCTCAGCCAGACCCCCAAGGGCCAAAACAGCAACCCCAGGCCTCTGAGTCTCCCCACTGATGTCTATTCAAAGCAGCAGCAGAATCCTATGGTATCAAGGGGCAGGAATTGTCTGAGGGTGGTGAGAGCACAGCACACATGTCCTTTCTCTAGATGTCCCCAGAGAAGGGGAGAGGAAGAAAAAGAGATGCACTTTTGTTGGGAAACAAGAAATGTTCCTTCAAACCTCTACTCTGCACCTGAGTGATTCCTTCAATATAAATACTGCAGCCGGAATATGGTCAAGAAAATAGCCAATTCCTGCTCCTTGGTGAGAAATCGCCCCCTCCCAAGGGGCTCTATGGGGCAGGAGTTTGCTTGGGACAGGGTGGGGTGGCCGGCAGAGTGACTGAACTGGTCAGTCTAGAAGGAAACAGCTAAGGCAGGCACGTCCAACTCCCAAGAGACTGTGATCTACTCACAGTATAAAAAGACCAACTGTGATCTACCCATTGTCAAGTTCCAAAGAGGGGCCCCTGCTTTTACCTGTGAGATGCCTCAGGGAGTGAGTCCTCCAGTCTCCCCCCTGCAGCCCCTGGAGGGCCATGTCTGAGGTTCCTGCATCTCAGCTTCAAAGAGTGAAGCTAATGGAAATGAGCCAGATCCACTTACCTCTGCAAGGTGCTTCTCACATCCTAGAGGGGGAAAGAGAAGGGAATTCACTGCACACCACAGGCCACACTAGGAAGACCCCCTCAGACCCTGGCCCTCGGATGTCAGTCTGCCTGGCACATGCCAAGGTTTGGGTAGGAATGGCTGAATCAGCCAGTTTTGGTTTCTCACAGCTTTTCCAGTCTGAAATTATTAATTTTTCCAGTATCAAGTTCTCCACATTTCCACATCTGTTTACAATTATTTTTTAAGAATCCTTATGAAAATCCACCAGCATTTTTGGGAAATTTAATATTTGTGGGTTCAGGAGAAGATTCCATCCCATCTCTTGTCTTAGATTATCATTTATTAACTTTAATGCAGTTTGCATTGTGCAATTCAGACGTAAGTAAGCCTACAGGATAATCCTACCAGAGAACTGTCCCAAATTGTCTTCCATAGAAGTCCCCAAATTTCAAATTCTACTTTCCAACTGGAAATAAGAAAAGCACCTGCAGCATAAAATGCCTCCAAAGGGGTAATAAAGAACCTCCCAGTACGTTTCCGAGCACAATTCAAAGTGTTGGTGCTGACCTTTCAAACCCTAAATGGCCTCAGCCAGTGTACCTGAAGGAGCGTCTCCACCCCCATCGTTCTGCCTGGACACTGAGGTTCCCTCCTTGCAAGAAGTGAGGTTCCAGGGAACCAGGCAGAGGGCCCTCTTGGTAGTGGCACCAGCCCTGTGGAACGCCTTTCCATCAGATGTCAAGGAAGTAAAAAACTATCTGACTTTTAGAAGGAAACTGAAGGCGGCCCTTCTTAGGGACGTTTTAATGTCTGATGCTGTATTGTTTTTAATATTTGGTTGGAAGCCGCTCAGAGTGGCTGGGGTAACCCAGCCAAGATGGGCGGGACAAATATATTATTATTATTATTATTATTATTATTATTATTATTATTATTATTATTATTAAGACTCCTGCTCCTTGGGAGAAAGGCGATGGCAAACCTAGACAGCATCTTAAAAAAGCAGAGACATCACCTTACCAACAAAGGTCCGTATAGTTAAAGCCATGGTTTTCCCAGTAGTGATGTATGGAAGTGAGAGCTGGACCATCAAAAAGGCTGATCGCCGAAGAATTGATGCTTTTGAATTATGGTGCTGGAGGAGATTCTTGAGAGTCCCTTGGACTGCAAGAAGATCAAACGTATCCATTCTTAAGGAGATCCAGCCCTGAGGTGCTCACTGGAGGGAACAGATTGTGGAAGCTGAGGCTCCCAATCACTTTGGCCACCCTCATGAGAAGAGAAGACTCCCTGGAAAAGACCCTGATGTTGGGAAAGATGGAGGGCACAAGGAGAAGGGGACGACAGAGGACGAG